TATTTAAATATTTATCAAGTATGATAAATCCAACACTCCTTATTTTTAGTAATATCTGTTAACAGCAAATAATAATTGTAGCCGGAAAATATCATGTGTGTTTCACAAACGGGTAACCGCATAAAACTCATTGATTTTGGGCTCGCTCAATTTTATGACGGTTCGTCGAATTTATTATTTATGGCTGGGACTCCGGAATTCGTCGCTCCAGAAGTGATCAAATTTGAACCAATCGATTTCCACACTGACATGTGGAGCATTGGTGTCATCACTTATATTCTGTAAGACTAAAATTTCGCTCTTTATAACTAGAGCATATGTGTCGGAGCGCTGAAATCTTCATGATTACACTTTTTGTCCATTATTTGTTGAGAAACCAGTGTACTTTAAATCTTTATCCAAGAAAGTTAAAATCTAGTTTTTTAACTGGTATGAAATAAAAATATTGCAGGTTATCAGGTATATCACCATTTTTGGGCGAAACTCTAGGTGATACTTATGTAGCTGTTGAAAAAGGAGAATGGGAATTCGACGATGAAGCATTCGAAGGCATTTCTGACGCTGCCAAAGATTTCATCTCTAAACTTCTTATAATGAACCAGAAGTTTGTTTTCGTTTTTATTCGTCTCTTTCGGAATTAGAAATATTGTTAAATGCTATTTTAAAAAATATCTGTAATATTATTCATTTATACTCAAATATAATAACAGGCAAAGGATGCTTCCGGAAGATTGCTTAAATCATCCGTGGATTGTTGACAGTCGGACAAAAGCTGCAAACGATCTGATATTAAATCAACCGAACAGTGGAACTCCGCTATCGAAAGAGGGATTAAAGTCATATCTCAGAAATAAACGTTTTAGGGTAAGCAAGAGTTATTTCCGCCTGATGCATTATTGATCGAAAATTTAAAAAGGTAATGAAATAGAATGTTTGCTGTTGTCTGACAGATGATGATAATGAAAGACTGGTCATCTAGAAGCCTTGCATTCTTCATTCGAGCTAAAATTCTGGTTTCATGCGGTAAAAACTCGATTTTTTTCTATAGATTCATGGCATTCTAGAAACTCTTGAAATGATACAGTGGTATCTTTCCTTCAAATTTTCTATCAAGCACTTGTAACTTTATCTTGATTAAATATATTTTTTATTCTGCAATTCCATTTTGCTCAGTAATGAAGCACAAAAAGATGGTTTTTTTCTTTATTTTTGTTTTGCTGTTTATCAATATTAAGCAGTTGAATTAAAATAAGATGATAACTGCTGATGACAATCTTTACAAAATTTCCATTTAATCCATTTATTTGGTGTCACAATGTTTTCAGAAAGCAACTTTAGCGCTAGTTTTTTTGATCCGATTCAAACGACAAACATTGATGAACTTCGGAAGACGAAAAGTTTCTACTGCTGCTGCTGATGCTGTCGCCGAAGTATATGGCAGTCTTCCTGTCTCAATAGGAAAGATTATGGAAAGCTGCACGGAATCAGAAGCCAGTGTTTCTGCAACAACAGGACTGGCACAGGATGATGAAAAAATGAAAAAACTGTTAACTGACATATCTACTTTTTACACTCCCAGAATGGAGTCAGTAACTGCGACAAAGCATCCAGAGGTAAACTTTTGGTTTTTTCATAGAAATTTGTTTTAAGAAAGTTTCCCAGCAATTGATTAAAGAGATCATTTACAGGAAAAGAAGTTAAGCAGTGAGATTCCGAAAAAGAAAGCTAAACCAAGCACAACTGATGAGGGAAAGAAGAAGCTAAAGCCAAGTGATGAAGGAGAGACGAAAAAGGGGGCAAAGAAGCAGAGAGAGAAAAACAGTGAGAAATCAGACGAAATCTCTTGTAAGCCAAAAAAGGTTTCCAAGCACCTCAAAGCTGCATCAGGCGGGTTAGAAAGTCAAATTAAAAAGACCGCTGAGACAGTTTCTGAGTGCAACGAAGTGAGTGATTCAAAGAATTTTATTCCAGTGATATGCGAAGTATGCATTGCATTGGAAACAACCAAGCCTGCTATTTCTTTCACCGAATTTTCAAAATCTATCTGTGCTGCAGAAAGTGCTCACCTACGTTTTTTGAGTTCCGGATTAGCTCAGACAAGTAGCAATGAGGCGGAGACGAATGGAAAACCAAAAAAATATTGCGTTTCATCTTCTGGCAATCGAACAGCGCAAGAATCCACACGTTATAGCAATTCAGCAAACAAGCTTAGTGAAATCAATAAAAAAGGCAATTCTGTAGCCGCGATTTTGTCAATGTTCACTGAAAAAGCTGAACAGGAAAAAACACGTTTTGAACGCCGACCTTCTCGTCCAGTAAGAACTTTTCGAGATGTAGAGAAATCTTCATCCAGGAAATCGTCATTAGTAGTAATTCATGAAAACGATTGCAATCATGTAAAACTTTATCGAGCACCGGAAGAAGAGAAGAAACGGGTGAAAAATTTGATTGAACTCCATCGACGTGGTTCTGCAGATCGAAAGCAAATTGACACGAAAGAGATTGTAGCTATAAAGCAAGATGAAAGCAATAATGGCTTTCCGGGTCAAAGAGTAAATATTGTCGCTCAAGACAAGGTGGAAATGAAAGCAATAAGTTTAACAGGAAAAAAAATGGAAATAAATCCGACATTAAATGTTAAGGAAGGGATGGAATTGCCAGGGAAAAAGGTCACTGTCTCGGATTTACCTCCTTCAGAATTAAACGCCGTCAGAAAAACTGGTCAAGTAACAGAAGAGCGGAATGCTGATGCCATGACGATGGCAAAAACTACCTGTCTGCGAAATGAAAGAAAGAAAAAGAAAAAAGATGTGACAGAATTTACGATAAATCAGGAAATGGCGGAAAAAGTTGAAAAGCCGGCGGAAAATATTCTGGTCGAGGCATTGCAATCTGAGACTTTGATAACATCGCAACAGAAGACGGCGATTCAGAATGATTTTAGCATTAAAAAAAATAGAAAAACAAAAAGTTGGATGAAACTGGACGAATCACAGAATAATTCTTCATTAAATTCTTTGAATACGACATCGAAAGAGCCGAAACATACAAAAAGCAATAGCGACAAACAAATTGAAACTGTCAATGAAAAAAGAGCTTTATCTTCGGAGCCACGTCTTTCAGAAGGAAGGTGTACTGCAAAAAAAGAAATTACGGAAAATGCAAACAAAAAAAGTCAAAACACGCCTAAGCGAAAGAAAGACAAAGTTGAAATTGTTGACAGAAATTATGACATTAAAGATGCTTCACAAAAGTTATTGGTTCGGGGGAAAAATTTTGAAGAGTTTATTGAACATCAAGATTCTTCCAGTGAAAAAAAAATGAAAGAAAGAGTTGAAAAACCAAAGAAAAGTACAGCATTAATGGAATTGGTCGTAACACCTGGCAACTCTCAATTTCTTCACAAATCAAAGCAGATGAAATTAGCTGAAGTAAGCAATAGTAAAATTCAAAAACCAATCTCGATTTTACAACCGTTGTCAGCCGACCTAACAATCACTACGACTAAACATAATGATGAGAATCATGACGAACTCTCACAATGCATCACTTCCAAAAAACCTTCAAAAGGTTTAGGGCGGAAAAAAGTCAGCGGAGAAACGAAAGTAAAGAAGTTACATAAATACAGACCGGAGACAGACAGTATCAGTTCTGACTTCAAGAATGGCGAAACTATAGGTTCCGTACAAAATAAATTAGTAAATTCGACAGGTGTAACATTGCACTCAATTCAGGATACTGTATCGAATGTTCAAGAATCATTAGGGGTTATTTCCAATTCTCAAACTGCAGTGCATGACGCAGTAAAACGAAAAGATCCTCGAAAAAATAGTTGCTCAAAAAATTTGTTACTAAGAATTAGATCAGAAATCAATTTGGCTGAAGATAAAGAAAAAATGAAATCAATACGTACACGCCGAAAAGCTGTTGATGATCAAGCCGTTCTTGGCAATCAAAAGGATAAAAATCAGCGTAGCATTTCGGTTCGTCCCTCTTGTTTTTTTTTTTAATCAAAGTAAACAACATTTTCTATCTTTTTTTGAATTCCTTAATCATATATTGCTTTTCTGTCTTAATAGTATGCCACTTATTGTTCTGATCATATGAAACGGATCATTTCGATTACAGTATGTGTATTTAATTTTTTTCTTTCGTTAACTTCTAAGAAAAAAAGATACGCATTTGTTTCAATAATGAGGATACAATTGTTGTTATTTTTCGATTCGATACCATACATTAAATATAATTAAATATAATTTCAGATAGCTGACTTAAAGAATCAGGAGAACTACAGCTTTGGTTGGCTTAAACTGCAATTAGAAACACGACTGAATAAAGAAAAAAATGATCAAATGGGATGGAGATATCGTCGTGATTTAGAAATTTCACCAATTCAATCCGGAAATGCTAAAAAAGCTTTAAATATCTGGAAAACAATGGAGCAGAGCAATATTACCAAAATTTAAGCTTTTTTGTTAGTTATAACTAGTGCTTTTGGTAGTATTTTGAAGATCCTCTAGATTAATTGATTTATGCCGGGTTATTGTTGGATGCCTACTTGTCCTCAGTACAAATATAGTGATTACTGTAGTGTGCATATAACAGATTATAAAAATATGAAATGCGGTCTTGCATTCCATGCTTATTGTTCTTCCTCGTTTGACACGCGGTATTTTCAGAACTTTACGCATAGCACAGCAGCACATCTTCAAACGCTAATCTTATTGAAAAGGTCCATTTATATTTACTTGTTTTACCATGTTTCAGTGCGGCATTTTCATTTTTCTTCATATGAATTGTTAGCACTTAAATTTTACATATCTGTACAGCACATTTGCTTCATATGTACATCGATTGTTGACTTTCCGTTCGGTAAGACAATCTGCCGTTTATCCACATTGTTGCTTTTCTAATAGATCGTTATCAACATCATTATCAACTCTCCCTCTCTCTCACTTCTTCATTGGACACCATTTTTTTATGATTTCTAAATCCAGTATGCGTGCCTTTAAAAAAATGTCTGTCAACGTTGATACTGAGAAAGGTTACTCATGCATTATAATATATTTGTTGTAATCAGAAGGCTTAACTAGTAATCAGGTTTTCCTAATTTGGATGTCAGACCGAAGAATAATGACTTGACATTCAGCATTATTCTGAATATTAATCGCACAGATTGCAATATTCGAGTAAAACTTATCATGTATATGTATTTTGATCATAACCTATAATCGTAATCCTGATAACGCACACATTAATTTATTTTCAAACTGAAACATCAGAAGAACCAAGTTCGACAGTGATGGATTCAACAGAAAATAAAATGAGATGAAAAGTAATGAACTGAAGATTGGTAAATGGTACATATGGAAGGGTATTAGATCTTGCATAGTTATGTATATTTTTCTAACGTTTACTAAATTGATGAACTTTTGCTCTTCGAATAGACTGGTATCTATCGAGTTACTTTCTTCATAATCCATCATGCAATAAACGTCATCTACCAGTTTTTGCTCTATAGATATCGTTGCAAAGAATATTCCGGAATCTAATGGCGGTTAGTATTCAACTTGTTTAGTGTATGCATGATCATCACTGATGCTTGTTATTTTAATTGACTGGTTCAGATTCAGATCGATCAATTTTGTGTCTATGAAACTTATCTTTCCTTCAAGACTTTTCACAATTTAGAATTTAGAAAAATTCTTTTTTTTTTTCTGAACAAATGGTGAAATATGGATCAACTACAATGACAATCATCAGTGTATATCATTGAATTTCATTTTGAATAGAGAAGAAAAGTAAGATATCAGCAACTCGGGATTTCGCTACCGTCACCTTCCGTCTTATATTTTTGTAATAGCGTTTTAAAAATGACATCGTGAAAGCTTGTCAGTTCTTAACTATAGAACTGTAAGGAAGATCAAACTATTAGCAGAACTGCATGTATTATTTTTGTTTTAGGAAAAGTCTAGGCAGGTAAAAAAGAAGAAATGATAAAGATGTATATGAATAATATTGTCCTGTTTCTCCTGATATGTCTCGTGATGCAACGAGGAACAAATGGTGAATGAATTTTTTGAATGAGCAGTGCAATGATATGCATAGCGATTCTTTTACGTGCTTGAACAACAAGTGCAGTTTGCAGGAGGCAATGGGAATCATTTTGAGTTAACAGATTCAGAGAAGAATTCAATCAATAACCTTGAAGAAATGCCTGAATTTCAACCAAATTGCGCTGAAGGTAAAATAAACAAATGTTGTTTTTATTGCACTTCTTATTTATATTAATTTTGTTACTCATTCCAGGTTGTTTGAAACCTTTCCTTCTTACACTACGCGCAAGTTTTGTTTCTGGAAACAACTATGAACGTTTAGTGAACACGTGCGAGTAAGAGATTAGCTGTTTAATGAGAACTGTGAATGAATCACATTTCATGTTTTAAAATTCGCCAATAATTATTTTAGGAAACTCCGCAAAGTATATGAGTGTATGGATCGTTTAAAAAAATGCCAGCAAAATTATTTATTTCGCATATTTATGGATGGTTTTAAGTATATGTGCGTCGAACATCCTGCTGGTCATTTTTTTAGCACATTTTTAATTGATTTTATTTTTCACCTCTCTTTATGTGCATCATTATTCATATATTGCATTATTTATATTTTTAAAATTTATTGAAGCATTCCGAGACTTGATGGAATGTATCGATCTACATACACAAGTTGCTACCAAAGGTTTGATGTTTAATTTTTGAATTTTCGGATTAATTAAATAAAGTGGTCAATCTCGTGACCAATTTCTTGACATATATTTGCTTGATTTGTGAGAGTTACATCAGAATTTTGCAGACTGTGAGCAGAAGTGTAAAGCGCATAACTTAATTGCTGGTTGGTTCATTCATTCGGCAGTGCATTCTAACAAGCTTCTTCATGCCGGAACAAATGGTGCACCGCCACGAGTTAATATTGGCTTCCTTCGTAAAATTACTTCTGAAGCTTGCTCGTCAGTCTTTGTATTTATATATTAATTCATTATAAATTGTCGCAGTTTTTCAAAATATGAATTAAGTGGCTACCTCCTTTTCACTTAACAAATTTGTAATAGAGACTTCCATTTGATTGGCAAGCGAAATTCTCTCTGCTCAATTCCTAATATTGCTGGTCACGAAACAAATTTGACAGTAAAGTGCAACATTTCTGGCATATTTGTGAGCAGTGACTATTTTGTCCCAAAAATTACTGTCTTAGAAGTTTTCTTCCTTCTAAGAATTAAAGGATAATCATGCAGAATGTTTAAAATGATGCATTGTTCATGCAATTGTGCGACAAAGGCTTGCGACACAGCCTTCTATTGAATAATGAGGAAGGTTCTATGATATTGCAATATCCGGGTAGAAACTACCGGAATAATTCCATGTCTAATCTACTACATTTCAGGATTTTGCAGTGTTATTTCCTGTGTTTAAAAACGAAATATAATGCACGCTGTCATGGTATTGGTGGAAACTTGCTCGTGGTAAGCTTGACCAATGATTTTCATGTCCAAATAGTGAATGTTTGAATGCTTTTAAGGACATTTGAGTCTTTTGAGATGTTTGGAACTATGTTTTATATAATATAAATTTTAATAACTGTACTATGCTAGATTGCGATTATATTCATAGATAATGAATAAAATAGTTATCTAGTATATCTTCTAAATATTGACAAATACACTGTTCTTGTTCTTTCTTCTAAATATTGACAGACTTATATTGTAGGAGGCAATGGTAAGACCAATATATCGAATGCATAATTCGATGTTATTAAGCCCATTTTGGAATATAATGAGGCTAATGATGCCTTCCCAATGCAATTTTATGATGACTGACGAGGGGATTTCTTGGCAGAGGTTTTTTATGTACTGTTGTTCAATGATAAAATTGAAAAATTCATTTGAAAAGCATTTTACTTGATGTAGGAAATGCTTGCTATTCATTTAAAATTTTAAATAACTAATTTAAATCATAATTGATTTGATTCGTTTAGAATTAATCCGAAGCTGGATAAAGATTTAAAGGAGTTTTATAAGAATCGAACAGAATCGTTGATCAAATTCCGTCCTCCAGTACAAATTTTAAAATTTTCCAATTTTGTTTGCACTAAAGTATTGCCAGTGTCATCAAGTAATGTAAATCTAACTCTGAAAAAAACCTTAAATTTAAAAGTCTGATAGCACGAAATTACAAATATTAGTTTTGCAAACGTAGATAAATACCGGAAAATGCGATTTACCTTCTTTTTTCTTGAAAGTTTGGTGAGCTACCCAGTGTTTCAGCAAATAAAAAAAGTTATAATAGCATGCTGAACTTCTGTTACAATTTCTGTAAAGTTTATTTTGTTTCAACTTTTATGAAGTTTATTCTGTTTCTATTTTATATAAAAATCGCTAAACAGTTGTACAAAGAACGGTTTGCTTCGGTTGAGGTTATTGGATGATATTGAATAAGAGGTTAATAAACAATGAATCAGATTATTTTAAGGCAGAGAACTTCACCACACTTGAGAAATCTGTACTTCGACAGCGAACAAAGAGGATTAATAAGGAGATTGACATTGAAACTTTCATTACGGTAAAGAGAAAAAACGAGACAAAAAACATTAAACGTGACAATATAGGCCAGTTTTTATTTTTTATTTTTTGAAATATTTTCCACGGTATCACAAAAGATTGACTGTACGTTGAAGTGAATTACCGTATTTAACGGAATCAATTGGAAATTCTTTTTTTGACGTTTCTATATACTAATTTAAGGGAATTAAAAAGCGACAAGATTCAAAGAATTAAAATACGTGACATGTTTTTATTATCAGCATATTTTGCAGAAGATTACCTCGAAGATTGTCGCGCTGAATATAGAAAAGATTGTGATGACAATGAGTGAAGCTAGAAAGATATGTAAAACCGTGAGAGTTCATTTGTCACCAACATTCCACACTTCTTTTTATTGAATTCCTCAGAACACTGCTTTTGCTAGGTACTGGATATTCTACGATTTAAAAATTTTGAAAAAATCTTTTTAGTATTTTGAAGGTAGGAATACCGACAAAGTAATACTTAAATAAAAAACACCTTTCATACAAATCTTTTTAAATATATGTTCAAATTGCTTTTTAATCATTAACGATTTAAAAATTTTTTTCCATAATTTATCTTCAATTTTCAAAAGTGAGAAATTCTATAGCAAATATCTGGAATGATTTTTATAATATCCAAAAATAAACGGGGAAAAATGAATTTAATGATTTGCTTCGTATTTCTTTTTATAGTTTTACATTTTCTTTGTAAAGTGATATATGTGATTAAGTAAACATTTATAAATAATCTTTGGTAATCATTATACAAATTTGCGTAGATGTGAGTTTTTATTAAAAACGGTTAAAAGTATATGACTACTTATATAAAGCAGCAGGAATGGTTCTGTTTCAGATTCCTTAGCAAGTTTTATTATTCTGATTTCCACATTTCCTTCATTAAACAAACTCTGATTTCTTCCTTTATTTGTTTCTAAATTAATTTTACCGTTTTCATTAGTTTTTAATGTAGATTTATATAAAGATGGAGTATTATAGGATCGAGTCCAATTAAATTATTTAGTTACCGTAATATTTCTATCCATCATACAAATTACTCCAAACGTACAAAATTAGAAAATCTGTACATGAAATTACAAACTTTGAAATATTTCTTGAAAAACAATATTAAAAGATGAAAAGAAAAACCACATACAGTAAGTGAACCCAATAGATTGCACCAGGTGCACAAGTTTTTATTCTTATGCTGTTGTGTCAAATATAATTTCTTTCTCGCGCAAAGAAATTCCGATCATTTCTTTGTGCGAGAAAGAAATTATACTTGATATTATTCGCAGAATAATAGTAATTTACGCGACTGATACGTAAATGCCAATTTTCTTAATCTTTTTCTTGCACTAAATATATTTCTAAAATAAGAAACGGAAACTTCAGAAAACTAAAACATATATGTAAAATAGGTTCGTGAAAATGAAGGATACAGTTTCTCTAAAAATGATTGAAGTATATTGCTATCATCATCACTGTTTACTTTCAGAAATGTTATATGTGGTACTTTGCAAAGTCTACAAACGTTCAGTTTTTTTTCTTTGGATTTAAAATTACATCGTAGTGAAAATGAGATATACCATCTCAAACCATGCACAAATACAGCATGATAAACAATTTTTTTTTCAAACAAAAAACGACAACTAATTGAAAAGTGTTTCTAAAATCTATAAAAACTTCTGAAATGAAAATTCTACTACAAGTACTTATGTAATCAAAATTTGGGAAATGTACTTCGAATATAAAATATAGGTTTGATGGTATTGCTTGAATCAATGCAATGTGATTTTAAATCAAAAAAAAAACTTGACATAATTAATAAGATGACTTCCGAATGTTGGCTAGAAAAAAAATTATTTTTTGCTTTTTGCTATTAAAAACACTTCAAAAGTACAAGTCTGCAACGATTTTCCTAGTTCTTTAAATCAATTTATTTTCTGAATTTAAGAATGAAAGTTATTTTCTACTGATTAAAGCTATATTTTTATAAATCAAAAAATAGAATGAAATGAAGCATTAAAATAAAACCAGAATTTGTAAACATGTTGCAGAATCACTAAAACAAATACATACGGTCCCTGAAAATTGCAATCTGAAAGATTCTTTGTACAACATTTGTTTCTTGCAAACACACTAAATTAAAGACAAACTATATTATATCAATCTAATTTGGTTAGAGTCTTTAAAAGATAGAAAATCCGAACATTAGCAGAATGCGAAATTTACAGACTTCATGAACTGCAGTAACCTAATATCAAACCTGGGACCGTGAATAAATTTATCACAGATAACGTTTTCACCGCTTTAGAAAAATATCATTGCTTATTTTTCCCGCAATTTTACATCACTCATTTCTTTCATCTTCAAGCTGTACTCAAATTATTGACATGAAAAATAATTGATTTTAAGATATGCACTGTGACTAAAACCAGTTCAAGACTTGTCCGTGAATTAGCAGATTTAACAAATTTATCAACCATTTCATACAAAGTGCTTTTTAGCATGTTATGTGTAAGTAGCAGAATTATTTTTGTTTCTGTTCAACCCTCATTAATTTCTTCTCCCATATGCCTTTTTCTCAGAATGGGAAAATAAACAGGAGTTTCTAAATTCTCAAATGTATTCGATTCTGCTTTTCCAGTCACATGAGATCTGCATTTTATATACTCATCACTGAAATACAAGGAAAAAAATGCCTTTCGAGAGGAAAAAAAAGACTTAAAAATTTTCATCCACTGAAATGCGAAATAAAGTGAAATAAATTATGAGCATTATCTAATTAGTAATATTTGCGTTTTCAAGCTTTCTTTGTTCTTCTATACATATATTTGGCACAGAACACTATCGGCGTGTTCAAAGAAAATCAATTAACTGAAGCTGCATTTTCTAGTCGCAACTAAAGTCAGGAACCTGATTTAAAATCTTTAGAATCGCAGTGCTTTGCTAGGATAAAAATATGGCTTGATGTGACTCATAAAAATCTCGAATATAATATTTAGCACTCTCATTCAAATCTTTTTCAATTAACAAAATATGTCGGATTCAACAAAAATATTTATACTCTTAATACTACAACCGATTTAGTTGATTACATTATCTCTTCAGATGTTGTCAAACTGATTCCTTCAATTCGAAGCACCGTACATCATGGAGACGATGAATAGGAGTTTGTTTTAGCGATCAAAAGTTCTAAACGTTTCAGATGAGCCGATGTCATTCGTAATATTGATTGGAAAACGAAATTAGGCATGACCTGAAATAGTATATACTTTGGTGATAAAAGTGTGCTTCTCCATAGACTGATATGAAAAGGAAGATGGCACTTATTTTAGTGACTTACATTTCAAATTTATTTTTCATAAAATGTATAGATAAATATGTGCTCATTTAAATTTGATTGCTAGATTTAATAATGCAAAACTATCAGTTACACATTTTCCCACCTCATCTTTTTTCAATTCTACTCTTTCTGCATTTTTGACTTTTATTTCATCCTCTTGTGTTTCTATTTTCTTCACCAGATTTTGTTGCGCATCACTTGAAGATTCTTCAGTTGGTTCTTGAACTTCGGTACAATCATTTGAATCCCGTTTTATGAATTGGTTATTTGCAATATCATCGGATATTTCTTCACATTTGTTTTGATTATCCTCAAATGTGGATCGTTCTGTCCTGGTGTCAACAACTGGATGTTCATCAGCTCGATTTTCTCTCTCTTTATATTTTTTCCAGTTTCTTTGAGATACATGTTCCGTTTGAGTTTTCATTACTTCTTGTTTTCGTATAGTTATTTCACTTTCTTCTGCTTGTCTCGATATACTTTCCGTTCCTCTGAATGAAGACTGAGTGAAGCGCATTTTAGTTACATTTTCCGTTTTTGCATCAACAGCTATTCCGTGTAGTGTACTAGAATAACTAAATCTAGTTAACTGCAAATGAATGACAAATCCATAAAGAACATAATAAATTCTTGAAAATATAATCTCTCTCCAACTTTTTGGAACAGTTATAAATATTAATATAAAAAAGAATGGAAGACTTAGTTAATAAAAACCATTTTAGGATGGTAAAACCTTGCGTAGCTATCGTCACTTTCCCAATCATCAGCATTAAGTTCCAATTCTTCGACCGGTGTCGCAACTTTTAGTGATTCTGTCATTTTCTCCTTACTCATCATTGTTCGTTCTCCTTCATCATCAGAAGGAATTTTTATTATTTCTGCTCTTACCTCTCCTTGAGTTCCATTATTCATTGCTGTCAGTTTACTGCAATACAAAATAAACTGCTCAGAAGACAATGGCGCCTCTCTCCACTTTTTATTTTTTATAATTAATTCTAAATAAGACATAAAAGCTAAAAGAGCAGCAAGACGAGATAAAGATAAGAATTCTGTAAAATACTTCACGCGTGGAAGTGGAAATTTTTTCCGTTTACTCTCCCATCTATGACTAAATGCTAGTTCCAGTCAATTCTTCCATCGCATAAAAATACTAAACTAAATATTTTCACCTACTTCTTAGTTCTCAACCGATTTGTAGGTTTCCCGAATTTCTGCTTCACTGGCAATAATTTTTGGTTGCACACCAGTGAAGTATCTTTCTGTCTGGATCGTCCATTCTTGCCATTACAGTTTTTCCAGCTTTCTTTCTTTCTCAGTTCATTTCTCTGATGAATGATCAGCGCAATAAGTTCTTCCCGTTCAAATATAGATAATTCTGCAAAAATTTTTAAAAGACAATCAAAATAGAATTCTCAAATAAACTTCAAGAAGTTCATAGAGTAGAAGTATGAAATTAAACATTCACGCTTTATTTGTCGAATTCATGCTTCACTAGCAATAATTTTCGGTAGCACACTATCAAGCCTTCCAATCTGGATTGTCCACTTATGACTCTGTAGTTGTTTTTCCACCATTTTTCTGCCAATTCAGTTTTTCCTTTATATTAAATTTTCTCTTTTCTCCGGACGAAAAATCAATCCTTTAGAAACCTATTTGTCTTACAGAAAGCTTCCCAAGTATGGATTCTAAATCATTCCGTTCTTGATTTCTCGAAAAACAAAAATCCAGAATAGCCTCTGCAGAAGGCATTTAAACGAGTCGAATCAAACTCATTTTTGATCTACTTTAAAGAAAGATTTTGTTAGAATCGAAAGGAATAATGTTCACAAGAAATAAGCAACTTAATAAACATTCATTGTGAACAAACATGAAATAAAATAGAAGCAAAATGAGCGCAGATTAATCAGAGACAAAATACGTTCTTTTAATCTGCAGTTAAATAATCACCAATTATTGATCTGTAAAACGTACAACCTTGACCAGATACAGATCAATATATTCTACAATGTGGTAGCATTTATAGCGTTGACAAACCTTTCTTTCGGCTCTGTTGGCACATTTTATACGCATAATAAAATCTAATTTCTATTCAACGTTATTCCAGACCTCAATCTCAACCTAATAAACATTTAACAGCAGTAAAAAATAATCCCTCTTTTTTAGTTCTTATATTTCAACCAAGTCTTCATCACAATAATGCAAGAAATCAATAAAACTTGTCATACTTTTTCAACAATCCATATCGTGAACATATTTCATATGTATAACTTACAAGAAAATTATTTCGCATCAGCAATGTATTTTGATATTCTAAACATCACAAGAAATAGCTCCAACTATCTCACCTCTTACCACTACTAACATCTTAACGGGAAATTTATAATTTAGGGACTAATTACATGTCATCATATCCCACCTATATATTCATCATAGAAGCTGCTTCATGGAAAAGCATAAAATGTAAAAAAAATATGTATAACTTTTTTGAAAATTCAGAAATCCCAGAAACCGAACTATATGTTTTTAAAATTTCAAATTCCTATCTTTGATAGATTAAACGGGAAGTTTTTTATAACAATATATGTATGAAGGAAAAAATGATGGATACATCAATAGCGGTACGTATTTAAATTATCATGTCAGTGTGATAGCCTAAATTGATTTCATATAGTTTGTAAATCGAACTTACCGTTGGGAGAACAACCTGAGCAGTTAAAGAAAATTTGTAGTTTTGAACGCATCTTATCATTTTCTTTCTCCAGAAGGCTAACCGCTTCTTTCAATTTTCTCGTATTATTGTTTCCAGATACTAGTCTTTGTCGTTTTGGTAAACTGTGTACATCAGCTCGCATTTTGCTAAAAATTGATAAATTCATAACTTTTCACAGTCTAATACGATTTACAAATGTTTGTCTCAGAAAATACAAAAAGGGTAATTGAAGAAATAAAAGTAAGAAAAGTAGTGGTATTACTGACCTTGGCGGAGGAGTAACGTAGGTGAGACAATGCTTGCATTGTACTTCGAGATCTGCGATATGTTCCTGATAATCTGGTATCCTCATTGCTTCACGATCATGTTTCAGTCGACTGAAATCATTGTTACCATAGATACATTTAAAATAAACACCTCTTCACGTTAAAACTGAACACAAAAACAAAACAATGAAAACCTTATTTCGTTGGTCTTTTCTTTCAAAAGCGATTCCAACATTACAATTTTTTGCTTCATTGCTAGCACATTTCCTCGATGGTCATTGGATGCGTACCCTTTAGACTAAACTATAACAATACTGAATATTTCAATTGTCCAGAAAATAATTTTGAATATAAAAATAATAGTAGTAGCTAATTTGCAAAATTCATAAATTCATTACGCAAATGATTGGACTGATGGAATAGAAAATTATAAGGTAATGAAAGATTGGAAGAATAGTACACCTGAATGATCAACAAATTTTGTAATTGACGATCTTTCCTTACTATTTCGTTACTTGAACGTTTCAAACGCGTTTTTAATATTATATTTTCTCTTAACATAGCAGCATAGTTCTGAAACAACAATTAATTTATATCCTGACGGCCAGATTGATTAATGAGAATTTTTGAAACAAATTTCAAATGATAATGTTATATATGCATATCTCACTGTCTTGATATAGTTAGACAAGACATATCAACACTATAAACTCTTTAAAATACAGCCTTTAATAATTTTTGGAGAAACTACATTACCAGTGTTAAATGTAAACCCTCACTTTCCCCCATAAATTCTCTATGTTAGCCTAGCCATGTGTAAGTTTTTGATTATAGGTACTTGTAGGCCAGCTCACTTACTCGTTTAATTCCGTAAAGCTCTTCTCGTAAATTATCGATTAATTCCCCTTGAGGCGTTCTACCCCGATAGAATTGCGATGATACTGAAAAAAAAATTAAGCTATTCACTTTTTAATTGTTTCTATTTCGGTGTCGTCGCATTCCGACAATGCTACAACATTACATCAGCCTTTTATCAATGTTGAAAATGTGGGAAAAATGACTAAGGTTTTCCGCCATCTTAGTGAATGAAATATAATTTAAATAATATTATTTAAATGGAGTGAAACAGATTTCGGCAAAAAGTATACCATGGAGCGGTCGTTTTTCCAACAATTTTACTGGTAGGAGAGGAAAGGATGACGGTTTAACAGCAAGACAATACTTGCTTGATGTTGTTGGAGCTGAACGTTTCGCAGAATATATATTTCTCAGCCTCTGACGCCGATCATACACTTCGCCCGATGTGCTTGGATATATAGGAGAACTATGTTTTACTAAAATTCCAGCAATATTTGGAAGTGCAATTGCGAGGTTATTTTTACTAAAATTCGGAATATGAGTCCAAAAACCGCCCTCCTCTTCTATATTTCGAATATCTAATGATATTTTTCATAGTAATTATTAACAGTAATTATTAAACATTCTTTATAGTAATTATTAACTTTAGATCACATGCTATATCAATAGTAAGTTGAATGTATGACCTACCGGTGTAATATTCAGTATGGTCAATTGAGTTAGTGGAATCATTTGGAATTGAACTATTGCTACCTGTTTCAACAAAATTATTCTGTGATTTATGCTTTTCTCTTGACTGTTCTTGATAATCATGTAAGTTAACAAATTTAGCGGCGACATTTGTTGTAGACATCAATCAATCCTAAACATGGAAGAAATGATTAGTAAATTAACACATAGCAATGAATTTCTACTGAAACGAATTGCATTGAAGCTCAATTAAGGTTGCACTAAAGCGAATATTGGTTGACCGAATGTTCACCATCTCCCTTACATTCCTTTCATGGAACAGTCAACATATTCCCTTATAGAAAATTTACAAGGTATATAACATTTCTGCTCCTGATCTTAGTGTGAGCTAGTAGAGCTAAAATGATAGATAGGCAATCTATCAGGATACCGGTGTCCTATGGCTTATTGAAAGGGCTTCGCACATTTTAGCTACCAAAATCTATAAAAATTGGAGACAAAGATACATCTATTGTGACAATAAATGATGAGTGCAGAGCTAGTTTATCCACGAAAAGAATCAAATTATCTCGTGTGTATCCGAGCGTTTACCTCTCACAACTTATTATTGCGATTTTTTTGTCTATAATGACTTTTGCTAGCTTAGAAAAAACTACTGTTCTAAACTTTTATTGATTGTTGCTGAGAATACCACTATGCAATGACATAAACATGGCCGGTATCCTCAGCAACAATCAATAAAAATTTAGAACAAGTTTGTTCTGGGTAACACATGAGAAGAAACGCGCTCATTCTTCAGCAGAAATATGAGTCAAATTTTCAATCGGTATAAAAAATGAAAAATTCTGGAAGAAATATGGGGGTAAGTTCATTTAGATAATTCATAAATAGTCATTACTGCACATGTTTTATCATCTTGAGGCACGGCAAACTTTGTGTAGCATAACCATGGCAGCATAATGTTATCTGCTATACTTTCAGGCTATTCTAACTTAAAAAACAATAAACAGGCGGAGAAAGGAGAGACATTGTTCTTAAACTGTCGTACACATGACAAATTTATAATTATAATTGAAAAAAGTCCTTATATAACGCTAAAGTATGGAACTGTTAGTTACAAGAAAACAATATACCTCTCAAATGAAGGTGGTAAGTGGACAATGTCCAAAATTGTAAATTTTCTTCTTCATAGTGACTCAGTGATTGTCATTCAATAAACCAACAGACTCCTATTTTATGCTAACATGTGCTATAAACCTAACAGTTTTTTGATCAAATAAATAGACTGCAATTGTTATTGATTAAGATCGATTATAAAAAAAAAAAATTTGCTGTCAAAAAACTGTTAAGACTTCTGAAAGTTTCAAGCAAGCCATGAAAATGTTTTGGCAAGGAGACATTGGACGATCCAACCAAAGATGGAATCGAACTGAATAGTGGATATATTAATGGTCACATATGGCGTAAAATGAGGTGATGCGTTGCGCTCAATGATCAAACATTCTAAAATTATAGAGGAAAGAGAAAGAAAATTGGCGGATGACTGATAATCGAATCTACAGAAAAGCACTACTTCATGTTGTATAACTTTTAATAGAAGAATGAGCGTTGCTAGGGGCAAACGCGCCATTATCCTGGAGAGCGCAGAAGCAGTCCATTTTTTCACTATTTCAACATCATCGGATCGGATATCATCTCGACATATTCTTTTTTATGAAGAAGGAGGCATTTTCACACGCATTATCTTTCGAATTTGTCTATCCATAAAAATAAAAGTGAGTTAAAAGGCCAAGCAATAATGGAAGACATTGATAAACTTCTAAGCATAACAGTAAGTATCTGAAGAGTAAGAATAGAAAGCGAACAATGAAAGGAAAGAGACTTTGCGTGCTTTTAATTAATTTCCCTGTTGTACAAATTATCGCTTAATCTTCTGGCTCGATGAATACGCATATTCATAGGACTAAAAAAAATGATACGATGATAGGAGTAACTGTTAAGCTTTTTCCACTGAAATCATAAAGATAATATTTCAATCATTCATAAGCTTATTGTCCGAAGAACAATATTGTGCTACAGATGAAAGATGCGGTCCTACAATAGCTATTTGTTGAATCTGAAATTTTTTCGATGTGATAGATTGATAGCTGCGCGGGTTTTACGGGATTATGACAGTGAATTAACTCTTATGGTGTTGTTTGAGCATCTCATGGGAATATTCCACCAGCTCTCTTTTTCTCTCCATTTTTCTGAATAATTCTTTAAGAGTACGTTGATTGCGTTGTGAAGTGATTTCATTTCCCCTTTGGTAATGACCTTTATTATTTAAAAATTTCATCTAAGGAATCTCATGTATATTTTATTATGCTATCTACCTCGAAATTAATGGATTAATGGATTATGTTCATATTGTTTTGTGTGTGGCATGTCTGGTCCTGGTATTTTTTCTTTTTAAATCATATCTGTTACATTTAAAACTATAAAAAGTAATTAGCCGAAAACTGCAAAATATGAGACTTTATAACAATCTTTCTAGGAAAATAAGATTTGCTCATTTATGTATGATATTAATATACGGATATTAAACAACTAAGAATTGCTAGCAAGCTGAATAAAATAATAGCATTACACTTATATAAATAGTTTTGATCATCTGATCCGAAGCTATTTGTCCTTTGAAAGATATTGTTGATTTTGCGCAATCAATGGGCATACCAAAAAGTTACGTTGAACTTGATAGATAAACTTGGATTTCTCATTGCCGATTTCGACGATAATGTGTAAAGTGCTGGAATCATGGGAAATAATTTGTCAGTGATGACAGAGATTAGCATTTGTTTCAATAGTAACTGCGGAAAAAGTGGCAGAATCTGCCATGTATGAATTAATGTTGGACATTCCGAATTGATTGGTGAAATTATTTGTCTAAAACAGACTTGCTAAAATTTCAATTTGCGAGGACACATGTAATTTTTCTAATTTCAAATCTGAAAGCGACTTTCAAGAATATAGATCTTCGGGGCTCATTATCAAGCCTTTCAGTGATATTTGAATTTATGGGAGAATTGTATTACGCCCTTCATGTAGCATCATCGAAACATCTGAAGTGATTATGTATCTGCATGAGGTAAGTCAAATGTATTCACAAAGTTTTTCATTATAATTTTTAGCACTGTTAAGAATTATTAAGCTGCTATCTATGGAATTAAGTCTTGGTACCATGGGTCAACCTTCGGTGGAATCCAACGGCCTTTGGAAGATATTGTTGATTTGACACAATCAAAATACATATCAAACGGTTACGTTGAACTTGGATTTCTCACTGCTGATTTCCAATTTCGAATCTTCGGCTAAATGAAAATATATTTATTTCGAAGAATTCCAACATTTTAAGGTTCTTTCGCAGGCGTCAATGTAAGTATTACTTGTAATATAAAATGGGGCTTTGAATTTGGAAAATTTTTAAAATTGACGACCATGTTGCCGGTGACGATATTTTTTGCAAATATTTCTTGTATTTTACTTTTATTGGAAATGTTGGACTCATTCAAGCTGCAACTTGTTAAATTTATCTTATTAAATTCCATTATTTATTTGTGTCATATTTGGATACAATCAAGCAAGAAGTCTTATACTTATTCAATTTAGACTACGTTATGAAAATATTCTCACCAAGCATCATATTATGTTCCGACCGATTGCATGTGGAACCGTCAATTTGGTATCTGCAGGACAGTATACAGTTACGGTAAGTAATGTATTTTTTATTATCAGTTCCTAATCGTGGCTTTATATTATGTCTCTGTTACATTTTCAATCATTTCAGTTACTGTCTCTCGGCAGATTGCTTGAATTTATTTCTGTTGTTCTTTGTTTGTCACATAAAAAATTTTTCTTATTGTTAGTTTCTAATGATTACTCTTAGTTCTATCTTATTGTTAATTTTTAATGACCTTATTTTTTGTTAGTTTGTAATGATTAGACTGCTCCCACTCCTGGAGAGATACCTTTCAAAAATTAGAAAGTATATTATAATCTTATTGTTAGTTTCTAATGATGAGAAAGTATATCATATTCGAAAGAAGACCAAATATTCCATGTTCCAAATTTAGCCTGTCCGACAACCACGTCCATGTGCTGAAAAATCGGCTGCAAATTATCCACTTTTTTGTGGACGGCGTGTTTTGCACGTACTGTTTCCACGTGTTTAGGATGGGACTACCATATTCCAAGTTTTTTTCTGGAAATTGGGTTGATTGAATCGTGGTTTATATATATTTTTTTGTCTTCATAATATGAGTTTAAGATAATGATGGCTTTCCTATCATTATTGATTAAATTTAAAATACTTGTTTATCATTGACCATTTTCGCGTACTTGTCTTCTCTTCCTTCTTCTTCGTTGATGTCGTTTGTTGTATAAGATCCAGAACTTTTGATTAATTGATTCTAGTGCAGCGACATACGTTTCAAAATGTTTAATTTCGTCTTTGATGATCCGTTTTTTGATTTCATAATATCAGTCTTCTTCTATTGGTAGGCTTCAATCTGGAAATGTTAAATCGAGTTCTTTAACATTTTCGAGGAGTTTTAAGATTCTTTCGATAGTTGGTTCAGCTGATTTCACTAAAGAAGTCGACACCATACCTCGCCTCGAGCACCAAAAAATTATCGTGAAACTTTGAAAGTTAAGTTGCAAGGATTATTCTTGCAGAAAGTTTGAGGAAGTTTTTTATGACAATTTGATGTCAAATTAGGAAATGGTATTCTTCTTGCAATTGTAGCGATAAGAAGTTAGAAATTGGAAACTGACAGTAGCTGTTGAGAGGAAAACAGAAAATAATTTCTTTATTGAGATGATAAATTCGTTCCTAAAAACTCAACAGAACACTCCTTGAAGTCGTTCTATCCGAAAACTGAACTTTTGATTTCTTTTACTTGTTTGATGGAAGAGAAAATTTCACACGAGCGATTGAACGTTACGTATTATTCTCATCCATTAACTCATGAATCTCACACCCATGCTTGACGATAAGCAAGTATTTTAAATTTAATCAATAATGGTAAGAAAGCCATCATTACCTTATACCTATATTATGACTTCGAATTAATACTCCGACAATTAGATAAAATAGATACCAAAAGGATACCCTCATCCATTTACCATTCAATAATAAACCTACCACAGTTGTCATCCCAAATTGTGGCGTGAATTCTAGAGTAGCTTCAACGCAACCAAGGAATTCTAATTATTCAAAGACTTACCTATTTGATTTCAAACCTTAGAGAAGAAGCTTTACAATCACTCAGAGGTTATAACGTCGTCCCAGAAAATTATGAACCAATCTGATAAGTTTTAATCGAGAAGCTTGGTAAATCTGCCACAATAAAGAAATCGTATACAAATTCCTTCTATGAAACGGAATAACAAAGAATGGAAATCAATTATCGAAGCGATGGAAAGAATCCTTCGACAATTAGAAGCAATGGATGAGAACATAGAAGATTCTAGTATTGAAACAACCATGGATCTTAGAAAAGATCTATCAATTACAAAACAGAAGAGGAAGATCGGACTGTTGACCTTAGACAATTCCTGATGAAATTTATCCAAGGAAACGAAGAAGTGAATGGGAGCCAAACTCAATCAGGAATAAAGCATGAAATATTAGAGGGAAAATCCCCGCTTTGTTTACAATGAAACAATCTAAATTAGTCAATGTAAAAGGTCCTGAGTCAATCATTAGTTCAAAGAAAATTAGCAAGAATAAAAGATCTTGTACACTTTGCAGCAAAAACCGTTGGGATAACGAATATCCAAATTATTCAACACTCAAACAACAAATTGATTGTCTGAAAAGAATGCTTGCACTAACTGTCTTCGGACAGGAAATGCAACAAGCAATTGTAACTGAAGGAAACGTTTATGTTTCTACTGCAAAGGCCAACATAATACGGCTTTGTGCTATACGAGATATGATAGCTCACTCAAAATTAAAGAACTTATGGAGAAAAAGTAACACTTGGGATGAAGCTATAAGTAAAGAAGACAAGGAAACACAACGATTCGTAATACATCATTTTGGAAAAAATGCAACTCTACGTCTAACGTAGCCTATTCAGCAACTATATATGTACAAAATTATGAAACGCAAGAAATCAAAACCTTTTTGATATTTGCTAAATTGCGAATGGTACCAATTAAAGGCTCAACAATACCCCGACTGGAGTTATTATCAATACTCATTGGAGTACGAGCAATATAATTCGTAATAAATCAATTGGGAGTTGGAAACGTACCCATGACATTATGGTCTGATTCTAAGTGTGCATTACACTGGATTCAAAGTGATTTCAGATTACTACCAAAATTAATACAAAATCGGGTGAAAGAAATAAGGAAATTAAAGGCTTTGTTTCGTTATATAGTAAGTTAGGGTAATCCGGTTGCTGATATCGCAACAAAGGATATCTCTCCAACAAAGTTTAGAAATTATGAATTATGATGGAAAGGTTCTCATGGTTAAAAGAAGAAACCAACTGGTTATAGTGGGAATATTGTAACTTTTAATATTAAAAAACTCGTTACAAATAAAGGTTTTCAATTAACAGATGTGAGTTACTTTAGCAAATGACCAATAGTATGGAGAACGACTGCATAGGTATTAAAATTTATAAATTTCATATCAAAAGGAAGATTCGTGTGGTTAAAAGAGCTATCGCCGTTGCGAAATGAACTAACGTTATCAGACCTTATAATCGAAACAAGATTCTTAATCATAAAAGCACGTTCACAAGGAAATAACTGAAGAATAAATAAATAAATAGGATCTAAGCTATAATAAAAATGATCACTATTGGAAATCCAGAATCCATTTGGACAATTCAGGAACGTATGAAGGTAATTCATATTCATCCTACCTACTAAGACACAACCCTATAATAAAACTCACACAGCAACAGGATGAAGAATTATGTCATGCAGGAATTGATCATACACTATCAGAAATGAGAGAATTTTGGATACCTAAAAATAGAACCGAAGCCAAGCGAGTGTTAAATATATGTAGAAACTGCAAAAGAGGAAGGCAAAACCATTTCAGCTACCGGTAATGCCTAACCTCCCAGAAATACGAACCAAACGTTCTCGAACATCGGAAAATACTGGACTTGATTTCTGGGCCCTCTTTCTATTAAAAGTGAAAGGGTCCAACTAAAAAGTGGATAGCTCTGTTAAACGGAGCTATCCACTTTTTAGTTGGACCCTTTCACGTTTCACAATAAGAGCCGAACATATTAGATGTTTTATCGGCTGAGAGCTTCATGCACATACTAAAAAGGTTCGGCGCACGACGAGAATACTTTAAATTAGTTCTGAATGATAATGCTAGCCAATTTCAACTAGTCTTCAAGACCATTATGGAATATACCACCAAATTGAGAAACTTCCCAACGGTTAAAGGAATGACCTGGAAGAGTTCCACCCAAGAGCTTCATGTATTGGAAGAATGTAGAAAAGATAAAGGAAATCAAAAGAGGAAGAGATGGAGAAATAAGAAGCGCAATGATACAAATGCTAAGCGGAAAACTACTTGAATCAACAAATACGCTTTATTCTTTAGAAGTAGACGATTCAGAACGTCTGAAAGATCGGTCAACCCAATAGTAGAGGGACCAGAAGAAAAACTGATTACCCTACAAACAGGAAGTGCGACAAGACAGAGGCAAAATTCAAACTTCTCCTTTCGATGGTTTCAATGTTCCTCGGTCGGGAGTGTCGGGAAATCCGAAATTTTGTGATATAAAACTATTCATATGAATAAAGGTTTTGTATCACTGACAGTCAAGCTGAGGAAGTGCGCTTAACTACTTTTATCTTTGTTAAACTTAATTTCTTGTCATATGATCTCTTTTTTATGTTGCTAGAATACTATTGACAGTTATCGCTATATAACGCCTTTGTCTTTTATGTATAACTACAAATGTGGCTAACGAATAATCAATCCCCTTTATTCCCATCGCTTCTTTCTTCCTCTACATGATACTGTTTAACCCTGGGATTGTCTATTAAGCTCATTATCTACTATCCTGGTACCGGATGTTGGATATATACAGTTACGTTGGACGCTATAAAACACAAAGGCGACTCGATCAAGTCCCCAGAAATCATGTCGGGAAGCGGAGTATTTCATCACTGTTAATTGTCAATATATGTAATCTAATTTCGAATAAATCTATTCAATTATAATTGCCGTGGAAACAACAAAGAAGAAATCTGCTCTTCTGAATCAAAAAAATTTTCTTTACGACGATTCTTACATTTATTGAATTCGAAACAAGTTCTAACTTAACCTTCCAGTCATGTCATAGTAATTACTCTGGTAAATATATGTTATTCTTCCGCAAATACGCAAGGGCTTTATATAACTTTTGTTCTGAAATATGCGTATTTTTCTGTGACAATTATAAACGACTGAAATTGTGGACAGCTAATTCGTTAGCATGTGGTAAATTGGAATGTCGTACTGCTTCCGGGATGCTATATCCTTGTGTTGGTCGTTGTTGTCGGTGACATTTGAAGAAATGTGCGGTCATCGAAAGACACAAACACTAAAATTATACCTGTAGGTTGAGACGAACATTGCAATTTTAAAATGATATCATAAATATCAAATAAACAAAGAATAGTTTCTGTACTTTTTCTGCATTTTTGCTCAATTTTGGACAAAAGATTAGTAGAGGATAGTAGTAACCTGGTCATTATCGTTCATGTATACTACATATCTGTACCATGCGATATTGAAGGCAAGAGCAAAACCGCATATGATCGAAGTTAGAGCAAATCCAAGAACAACTGCAGTTGTTATAGCAATCGTAGTCCATGGAACTTGCTTCTATATAGTTTGTAGTGAATTTCATGTTAGTAAAGCATTCAATTCGATTTATATTTAGTATATAATGGAAGGTGAAAAAAAAAAATGTGATCAAGCTTACATGGTATACGAAAAGTATGGAGACGAAGAGAGCATGAGTGATCGCATAAATCATAGCAATCGTTAGGAGCACAGAATTCATGATGATTAAATCCAGACTTTCGAGTTTGATTGATGCTAATAATAACATAAGCGAAAGTAGCCACAGAATGCACATTCCTTTGAAAAAATTACTATGCTGTAACTTATGAATTTCTTCGACCGAACAATTTAAATTCTAAAAAAACTTTTACCAGTATAGACGCCTGCTGATATCTGTATCAATTCAGTAAGGTCTATTTGAAGCCCAGTTTCATCAATCGTACCATTTCCATTCATGTCTGAAATGAGATTTCCATCCCAAATGATTTTCTCTGTCAGGTTCATGTCTTTGTTTATTTCTGTTGCATTCATCTGTAAAAATAAGTTTCAAAATATTTTTGCTCATCGATTTCTTATTGTAGGAATTAATAAAATTGAGAGCGAGAAAAGGAAGGAAGTGTGTATGGGCTGTTTGGTTCCATTTGCTAAGTTACGCTAAATCTTTGTGGTGAAAATGGTTTTGGAATGAGAGCATCTTATCCGCAGAGCTCTTAAGGGAAAAGATGATAGTTATCTGATGTAAGTACAAGTATTAATTTTGATTTCATCGCTGTATATGTCACAAACCGTTGTACTGATGAAAGTTGTAGAATATGGTGCTTCAGGTCGTTTTGATTGTTGTTTAATGTTTCTGGTTATATTTATATCGTTCAGATGAAGCACTAGATATAGCGTGAGGGCTGCACTCATTACCAAACCAACAAGCTGTATGCAAAGACTTGCAATACCAGTGTGTCGTGCCGGTATCTGATATAAGCGGATCATTGCTGGATTGTTTAGCAGTACATTATTTTCGACCATTATTCCTAAATTTTTGAAGTTCCTGGCGTTATGTTATTCTGTGTTGTACAAAATACAAAGGGCCTGCAAACATAGCAATGGAAATCGCTACGAGTCTTTCAGCAGGAGTTAATAATAAGATCAAGATGAAAGTATTAAATATGCATTTACGAAATTATAGTATCGAGAAATAACATACCATTTCCAATTGTTATATCTGCATTTGTTGATGATTTTATTGATAGAAATATCCATAACAGCAAAATTCTATTTAAAAACAAAGTTCTTTCAGTTATGATTACTTTGGGACATTTAGTAATTACTCAAAAAGCTAGTAAAGGAAGTAAAAGGCGTGTCAGTCACATATTGCTTTTGAAAATTTCACCATTACCAGAACAAAGTCGTATGAAGCAAATACGACATTGCTTCTTACAATTCAATTCCACTTATAATTTATTTTCTCATTTTTTCCAATTGTCGATTTTTTTCAATTTTAGTACATTTGCAGCTTTGTAAGGGACTTTATCCAGTTTTTGAAACATAGATATACATTTTTTATCTGTTATACTAGAATTTTCTAATCTTTCAAAAGCATAATGCGTCGGTTTCTTCTGTTCTTACTTATTTCGTCTCATTAATTCTTGCAAAATTGATAAATCTTTTTGGAGAAGGAGATTCTGCAAAATTTCTCATTAAGTATTACTTCAAAAATAACTTGTTAGAGCCTGTGGATCATTCCTTATCAATCCATAATGGCATATTGAAAGATCGTATGAGGGATCAAACTGTTACTAATTGTCAAATTACAATAATTGCAACAAATGAAGTTTCCATTGGTTCTCTAATAAAAAGGAAAAGAAGCATATTTTAAAATAAATGAATTGTGAAAAATTGGTGGATGAAAAACAGTAAGATGGAATTCGCAAGAAATTAAGTATGGAAAGGCGGAATAGTTCTGATCGAGTTACCCATAGCAACGATTTCTAAGGTTATACTATTTTTCTCTCTTTCTCTGTATCTATTCTCTGATATAGGATGTCTTAGGCCTATCTAAACTGTTGTTAACGGCTTCTATAAATTTATTATTATATTCATATATGATTAGCTATACGCAAATGTTATGTATTATTTTCACTCGTTAAGAGTTTTGAAATGAAAGAAAAAAACTGCTGTTGAGAATAATTTGTTCATCGAGTAAAGCATAACCTGAATTTGTGATATACTCCATATTTATACAACGTAAAATTTTTCCAACAAGCACATCAACGATTATTACGACCATTTTTACATACAAGGCGCAGAGAAATTCTGCAGGTTTGCCAACAAATTTTTACTGTAACTACGTAGGTTTTTAGTGTTATAATATTACTGTTATTGAAATTCAATTGTAAATTGTCAGTAATTTGATTCCTTTTTATCGAAGTAACATGTGCTTTAAGTTCTGTCCCCATTTCAACATTTTAGGATTAAAAGCTTTGGAAATCATTTCTTGTTCCTGCATTTTTTTTCTCCTGCATTTTCATTTATATAAACTAATTCTTGGTTTTCATTTATATAAAATAATTTTTGATGGCAAATTGCTGAATTCAATTTCGTACTCTTCACATAACATGAATGTGATACTCGTTTAGGAAGATTTCTCGGAAATCGTGCAACTGATTAGCAAAGCAACTCTAGCTGAATCAAATAAAATTACTGTGGAAGTTACGAAATTAATTAAAGATGACTTTTTGCAGCAAAACAGGTAAACTCATATAATCGATTTTCACCATTTTATAAAACGATTGGAATGCTGAGAAATATATAGGTTTTCCTCAGTTTTTGCTACTTTTTCTTTCTAAGGAATGTTTTTAGCTTCTTTGCACTAACTGTGTATTCCGAACGAAACTAATTGTCATTTTCAATATATATATAGTATATTGTAAATTTGTTGGCACCTTTTTTTGTGAGAAACCTATTACTCTCAGACTGAAATTGTTCTAATTTTTACTGTCAGAATTACATTTTATAATTTGGCTTGACATTTTGTGGAAATAATAGCACAAAGTGAAAATAAAACTACCCGGACAACGATACATGATCACATTAGTGATATTACGTATCAATCATAATTATCAGTCATGAAATCCATGGTTTTCCTTGCTGTGTGTTTAGTAGGGAAATAACCCGTCGTAGCATGTCTATCTCCAAATTACAAATTATTTTTTCCGCAGCGATTCGAAGTTATCATTAACAACATCGAGTAATCCGTGTTGAAATAAATTTTCTCGTAATAGCACACTGGGAGAGCACTGCACGTGTAACTCGTTATAGAAATCAAATAAGTTATACAGAAATATATCTTGGGAGCTTTTAATATTTCCATCGTAATTGCACTATCTCACTTTAAAGTATCCCATAAAAGACGGCAAAGAGAAGATTAAAAAGGACTACGACGAATTTTTGGAGACGATGCAGAGATCATTTAAAAATTTAGAGGATTGATTAGTTTTCATTATTTTTTGTATAAATAGCGAGCTACGATAAGAATCACTTTACTTACTTTATTGACCTGGGAACCGTTTGCTGTTCATTTTTTTTGTGATAAAACACATTCCATGAATATTAGCTTCAATCTTGTAGTTTTTGCAGTGCCACTTGTTAACTAATATTGCTATTAGTAATATATGCTATTATCGCCTTTGTTATCATTTCAACATTGCAGAGTGCTTTTATAGTTGCATGGAAGAAAAAATGTTTGCTAAACAGCTGTGAGGAGGTGTATGGTATGATCACCAATAAGAAAACAGCAGGACATCTGTTTAAGAAATGATCGCATGAGCCGGCTGGTTTAGTTTTGCTCGGTTGGAACATTAGCATGTTATATAGATTCCTTTCCATTTTCAAGATGTTGTAAGGCTCGGATACTTCTGGGTTATTCCTAGAGTTTATCTTTTGCTTAACCATAAATTCTTTTGCACTGTGTTCGCTATGTTCTCCCAATATAACATCTAAAATAAGAGTCCGAGTGATCATATTGTATTTTTCGAGCTTTATTGTAAAAAGTTTATTCTTCGCCTTCGTGCAATCTTGTTAATGCAGTACTCGCTGTATTGTCTTTGATTATAACTAACACTCGGGATCATGATTTAGACACATTATTGGAATTACTTCTGAATGGTTGGAAGTGCATGCGTTGACATTACAATTGATAATGTATATATGAATGCAGATCTAACAGTGTTGAGGTGGTCCTATTGCAAATTTATCGAACACGTGCAAACAGATAAGGAGATGGAAAATGATTCTCTAGTTTCCCTTGCCACTAGATGCACATTGTTCATGAACATAGCTCATAATTTGTTGAGACTATGATTTATGAATATCATTGATATCATTTTAAATAATAATATTTAATTCATCTTTTTCGGGAAATATTTTGGCAATTAACCGCACATCATAAACCCTCAAAAACGTCGCTTTCAGCAACCAAGTTGATGGATCCTAAATTTGAAGAACCATGCTAGTGTCATCATATACTTAAAATATATAACTTGGAGTGTTGAATCAATGAAGCTGTAAAGTAGTTCTAGCCGATTTTTTAGACTATATTAACTGACTTTAATTCAAAGCCCAGTCAATCACTCTTCTAATGGATGCCAGCCAAGATACGCTTTTCAGCAAATGAACCAAAAAGATAATGACATTCCAGCTACTTCAATGAATTATACTATGCATTGGATAGCTATAAATTGATAAAACAATCATTGCTTCTCAATGTCTAGTTAAGAGGGGCTTGTTGCTTTTCTCAAGCGTAATTAACAATAATCACGAGCTAAAATGGTCTTGATATGAATAAGTATTAAAGATGAAAATGGGATCAATGGCAAAACTATTTTTTTTAGTATTCTGTCCATATTATCTAGGTGTCGCGAATTTCGATTCGCGAAACTCCAACGAATCAACGAATTTCACGACAAGGAAAAAAATTTGGTGCCCGAGGTGAGGTAACGATGTCGAATAGTGTGGTGGCCAGTATTCAACCAGCAAAAACCAGATTAGTCTCTCTTCTTAAAGAAATAAATACCCTGGTATTTGAATCGCCAGATCCGAGTGCGTCAAACGAGCAACAGGAAAACCTATACATAGCTAGGAATCAAGTATTAACAGATAAGATTGATAGAGTCCAGTT